TATGCTGGGTCGGAGTTAAGTTTTCGTTAGTACATCCCCAGGTTAAAGTGATAAGACAAATGAAAAGTATTGTCACTAACTGATCCAGCACTAAAAACTTTACTAATCCCAGGATAACTTCGAAGAAAGACATCCCCCTCCACATACCACATATGCAGTAAACCGTGCTTCTGTGTTTGTGTTTAGGTAATTTGAATGCTGTGACTCATGTTTGAAGACTGAGAAGGAAGAAACCCATTCTAAATGAACTCATCTTCTGTAATTCTTCATGTTTCTCTAGTTTCCACTCTGATATTTTTTCATGATAATTTTGAAATCTCTTTTATTTGTGCCATCGTGTTACAACGTTTGTCTTTGCTCCAGCCACGTTACAAATGGTGAAGAAGGTGAAGCAATGTCTGAGGGAGAAGTAGACGATGAGGAAGAAGAGGTGGAGGATGAAGGTCGGACTGAGAGAACTAACCACGAAAAATCTCACCATGGTCCCACACGTCACAGTCATCCTCGCCAGCATATCGGTAGCCGCAGTAGCTCCCATCGCCATCAGCTAAAACCACCTGCACAACATCGGAATCGACGCCAACCGGTGTCCTCGCATGACCGCAGGCGGAATGCTAACGATTCCACCCACTCATCAATGCTGACTGCGAAGCGCGCTCGTCGGCGGTCTGACGAGAGGGAGGGCTACACAAGAACTCGGTATTCGTCACCACCACCACCGGCTCGAAGGCCCCGCACACATCGTGCACCCATTGTTAATGGCACCAGTTCCACTCGAAGAAATCGGTTTTCATCAAGTAGTGGAAAATTTGCAGACGTTATGGTGGCTCGCGGACGCCTAGCTCCAGCCTTTACCTCACACCGCTCCGGTGCTGTGGGTGTCCGGAACGGTCGAAGACCTCCAACTCAGAGATCATTTGCTCAACGACGGTAGAGATGATGTTATTTTCATGTTGTATTTGTCGTCTTTCCAGCATATCATAGCACATGGGCTCTCACTTACCTGTACAGAATCTTCCTCTTCCTGCCCAGTTATTGTTTTTTTTGTTTATTTTCATTTCTTACATTTTGGAGGCCGTAATGTGGTTACCGCGCTTTAATAAAATTTGAAGTGTGCGATTTTACGGATGCGTTTTCTAGCATTAATGTTGCGTCTTTTTTGAAGATTAAGGATGCAACGCCTAAGCATTATTTGGGCTGGTGATCACGTCGTGGTGAACACATGCAAGACATGCCCAGCCCCATTCCAAGGCTGGGCATGGTTTGAGCTGCATCAAAACATGAGTGATTTTTAATTGTGACTCAACTCGAATATCGTCAGACAAGGCTAACTTCGTCGCAGTTTTAATCGTGATTACAGTGGTGATTCTTTGAGGTCCTTCGAGTCGTGCGCCTAGGTGGGTGGGTGGGTGGCTGGTTCACTTGCAGTTGACCAATTTTATATCGAGCCCCATCTCTGGTACCATTTCTCTGACACTAAAAGCCGGTAGCTTCGACGTGCCCATCTTCGATGGGGCAAATATCTGGAAGAATTTATGCTTATAGCACTGGATTATGCACAATGTTCTTAAGAATTTTCAATTGTCGTGAGCGATTTTCGCACAAAAGGGAATATTTTATGGTGCATAAGTCGTTCACGCGGCATGTAGTGCACTTTCTGTGGTTCAAGTATTAACAGTTGATACTAGGTCTTATTTGGCGCCGGTGATGGCATCGGCTAGCAGATAGATAAATATTAAAGTATATGTTCAACACAACGGATGACTTTGGTATAAGAGAGAATACTTTAACTCACTTTTGACTACTTACATTTTTAAGTAGACTATTGAGACCAACAAATTTGTATCTGTAGTAAGGAAGTTAAACACAATTTTTAGCCATGGAGGTGTTGTATTTTTGCGTCAAAAAAAGGAAAAACTGCTGACATTGGATACTATCCCATTGGAAGCATTATTCGTGCAAGGATCAATGGAGCTGATTTCCCGAAAAGTGGATAATTGAGGTGATTTGCTCATTTACACGCTCAAAAGTGCACTCCACGTCATCTGCTTGTCACTGTCCTGCTCAGGTAGTCCGGGCTGTGTCAAGTATGCCGTGCCACTCAGTCGTGTCCTTATCCGTGTGCTTGAGATTACGCAGCCAGTCTAACTTTTGACATCTAGCAAATGAGGTACCAGGACCTTCTATGGCTGATCGATAACACGCCGGTGTAGTTTCTCACTTCCCCACCATTTCATAGAAGTACTTTGTTACCGAACAAAGTGAACAAAATTTATTACCAAGACAGAGTAATAGACCATGCCACAAAGAATGCAGTACCTCCGTACTCCATCCAACCAGAGAAAATGAGGTAGCGCGTGTAACGTGTCGAACACTTTGAAGGGGGTGAAACTACTCTGCTTAAATGGTGCTGTTTTCCGAACCTTCTTGCTTAGAGCACATTTCCAGTAACCTCATATTGCTCAACTACAACATGGACAGGACATTACGAATGACAAATACTTCCCATCTACAAATCTGAACCACATTTCGCTGATTTAGTTTTACCGATAGTAATTGAGAAGTTAATCAGATCAGTCGCAACCCTTGGTCAGGTGGTTTCATCGTAAATTGGGTCATCGTGTATAGGCCAAATCACGATTATTCAGGGTTCATGAAAAGTAGTATTTATTCATGTGACGCTTACATCATGGAAAGTCAACCCCATAATTTAATTGCCGGTCCCTTCTTTGCACACTTACCCAGAATACATGGTATTTCAAATCTCAGATGTCGTGTAGCACGGTCTTTACCAGATATTCAAAATCTGCCACTACCCCACTTTCGATGGTGTCTATCGACACACACATGCAAAATTGTTAAAGATTCCACTCACCTTTGCGTAGGAGGCGAACTTATCCCTATTGCATAATGTTGTGGTAAATACCTGAAAGTGAAATCGCGACCTGTGGAGACCTCAGTGAACGCCAGCCTCCTGTTTCGGCAGTCCGACCCCATGCCTTTTCTCAAGGTGACTCTTTTAGAGCAAAAATGAAAGCAAACGGACGCTCTGGCAACCAGAATCAAGTCGTGGTTTATGGGAACTGCGAATAGTGAATTTATTTACTGCTAGCCATGAAAATGGCGACCCACATGTTTAGTTACTTGTTTTACGTAATACACACTCAAATTACACAAGGGCATCACAAAGTAACGTCACTCAAACGTTCTCTTAAAACGTCACTCTGGATTTCACATCCACATTAGGGCAAAAATTAATCAGACCCTAAGTGTTTGTTCCTTACAATAAGTCAACCTGTTCCATCGAAATTACTAGAAATCCTTAATTGAGGAAGCACCACTTTACCACTTACCCCGCAGTAGTTACCATTTTCAACCGGTTAAAGAAAGAAGGAGGGAACAAGCTATGAGCCCCTTTCCTGTGATAATCGTTGCAATGAGAAATCCCTCTAACAATGGCTTAGGTTAAACCCAAGTTGGCCACAGGCACAACCAACCAGACATTAAAAGAACAGTAGCCATCAAACGACCAATTTTATCTTTAGCTAAACAAGGCACTATGACTCTCCTTGTGATTTAATTCAACCACCCACATAAACTTGCTGCGATTAAATGCCGCAACCCTGAATTTACGTTGTTCCGATGGTAGAGAAAAGGAGAGGTCATTGAAAGGGTATATTCACAATGGCGTCGTTGCCGAGAGCGGCCGAAAGTGAAGAAAGAAAGACATTGGCATGGTGATTTACAGACTGGATGCGAAGAGTTCATCACATGATAGGGGTGGTCGCGCTGTGACAAAGGTAGATGATCGCACCGAGGATGTTGACAAAGCCAGCAATTATAAAGACGGACAACCAACGACCGCCGTAGCGAGTCACCAGATATGCAGTAAACGGACCACACAAAATACCCGGGATTGTTGCCTAAAAGAGTAAGCAGAGGGGCAACCGTTTGAAAAAACACCCGATTGCACATGGTTGTAAATGTGAACAGTGCGCATTTGACGGCTATGATGACCTTCAAATGATCAAGTCAAAGAAGCAATGACTAGAAAATCGTGGCGCGGCGGGTGGAGAAACAACAACGACCCGTTCGACTCTAGGGTAGGGTCGGCGACAGTGTGCCGCTGAACACCCGAGGCACTATGGCCAGAGTTAAAAAACCGAGTCTGATTGAGAGGTCGCACTGGCGAAACCGCAGAGCACCCACTCACACCGATAGTCAAATCAAAGGCATCATTTAGAACTGGAGAACGCGCAGCAGCGTAATGACATGCACGTGCGTACCGGAAGTGAAAGACTAGATTAAAAGAAGGATAACTTTAACCACTTAGTTTATCGAATGTAATTGAGTAAGGCAGAAGAATTACTATATGACATGCATCAGGATTCCACTGCATGCACGAATTTTTCTAATGCAAAAAATAATTTAACTCAATAAAGTGAGTATTTGGCTGAAAACACAGTGGCTGATCAAGCAAATTAGATGAAAAGTATGTGATGGACTCACAAGTGTGTTGCTGATAGCAAAAGTGATGCCTGCGTGGTTGGGGGCCACTTCTGCATGCGCGGCTAGGTGACCGGCAGAGTTGCATGCCGACAAACCCATCGATACGGAAATCAGGCTACAAAATGATTTAAGTATACACAAATAAAGCGACAAGGAACAGCAACGATAGGTCTATGAGAGACTATATGCGACTGAACTGCAACTACTGCCAAAATTTATAAATACCACAAAATTCTACGGCCATTAAGCTATTTTGCATCTGTACTGCAACTAGTGGGTTACTTTGTTTACATTTGTTAAGATTACGCAATAAAGCTTTCTGTATATTTGTTGTATTTAAAAATAGCTAAAACAGTATATACTGTCTTGTACGTACACTAGGCTTATGCTAATATGTGAAGACAATTTACCTCACTTGTTGGGATATTTATTCAAGTTTCTAAGCTTTTTCAACCCCAACCAGCTTTAATATTGAGTTCCATACGGGCAAATAATGACACATCAAGAGGTGAATTAGAACCTTGCTGATCAAACTGGCAAATTTAATGAAGCACATCGTTATGGCCTTGGTGTTATTGTTCACCTCGCATTTATACCAACTGCGCCATAAAAAAATCGTATTCATTGAAAATACTATCCGCTAAAAAAGCTATTTAAAAGCAATTCAATTTAATCTACTGCGATATCCCATTTACTGGAGAGAAAATAAAGACAACTAATTCACTTGACTGTCAACTGAACTGCACGAGTAAGGTTAACGACTGACATTTGCGCAATGGTTTACTAATAACAGGTATATTCTCTAGTACTACACGCCTGCAAAGTACCTGGAAATACAATTAAGATTGACTTGCCGCATATCACGAATTCGCGTTAACACACAAAAGTCAATAGTGAAAGTTAGTTAGGAACAGATGAGGGTAACTTGACCAATTTTAGAACTAGAACATTGTACTAAAATTTAACAAGTAAAAGGTTTGCTAAAACTTGTGCTCTTACAAGACAGCCAAGGGAATACTTGAGGATGCGGAGAAGATTAGTAAAAGGCAGCCAGGTCCGAGTAGACCTACTGAAGTCATAAGACGACGCACCCATAGTACATTCCATCTCTGGCGGACAAGGCTGTCTGCCAAGTGACCAGCAGCTTAAAAACAAAACAAAATACGGATACTAACGCTACCAAGACTAAGTGCAAAAAGTACAAATAGGAAATTGCGTTTGGAGGAGAATTACATTCAAGTGAGCCTCTGAGCCACTAGTTAGGTAGTTGGTTTTAGCGTCAATGGACGCACTCAACTTTGGTTGTGTAAACAAATCTTTTAAAATTGACAGAGGACCCCAGAGTTAAAAGGATTAAGAGGACGTAGTTATTTCTTTTGCTCAGGTAAGTCAAAAAAATTAGAAGTGACAAAACTAGTACTTACCTATGCCACAGATTGAATTAACAATATAAGGCAATGCAGTGAGAGTGACTTCAAAACGGCCTCCACCCAAAGATCGAACAAGGTAGGTGGGCAACCACTGCATTATGATGTAATTTGACCAATTCATGCTGAAATGAGCGGCATAGATGGCCCAAAGTGATCGATGATTGAAGAAGTCCCGCCAACGGGCCGACTGATTGATCTAATCGCAACAAGAGCAGTTTCAGTTGGCACATAAAGCGAAAATCAGAAAAGTAAAAAAGATGCCTGACCATTGGCTTTCCTACCAACTTTTAAGTCTTCGAAATCAGTTCATCAGAAACAACGATACAACTGATAGAGCACAGAAAGCCGACTGGCAAAATCCAATAAAACACACATGGAAACAAAAGGCTTAAATGTACAAAAACACCTAGGTCGATTATGCGGTAAAAAGCAAGTTCATTGAATGAACCAGCAAGGAGGTGCGCGACAAAAGTATAGGCATGCTACTAGAGTAAAGCAAATGAGCAAAACAGAAATATCTAAAGCCATGTGCACGTGGTTCCTTAGGTTAGGTGATGGCAAATAGTACAACTTTGATGGGTTGGGTGACTGGAAAAACTTATTCTTGCAACATAAAATAAAACTCATAGGGGATTCAAAATATTACTAACACAAGAAGACGAAGTATAGTGTTCAGAAACGCCTGGATGATCAAAGTCACCAAAGACTCTGGTAAAAGCGATCCATACAACGACCCATGCAAGACCTGCCCCGCCAAATAGAAGAAAGGGCAAAGACCAGTACATGTGAGGCGAAATTATCCCAGCAACAAATTGACCCACAGAGCCCAACGCTATCAGATAGCTGAAAGCCCGACCACGTTCGTCAACAGGGACCAAATGAGCAAAAATGTGAAAGATTGTTGGCAATCCTAAAGGGAAAAAAATAAATTGACCCCGCCATCACTTAAAAATTAGGCGAGTATAATAAAGACGCACCGATTCCCTCACCGACACCAAGAAGAAAGCGAAACAGAATCATAACAATCCAAGAAGAAGCAAAGTATGGTGTCAAGAAGGAAGACATCGACCAGAGCAGTACAGCAAGAGCAAGAACACGTTTCCCACCGTAATTAACAGCAGCGCTACCACCAGCAACCTTAAAGACATAAAGAAACCACTAAGCCTACCAGACTACTAAGATATCCAACAGAAAAACTGCTTAGGATCCAGCCCTGAAAATGCAAATCCCAATCAAATTCATCAGCCATTGAAATAATTGTTATAGGCATCAAAACCCGATCAGCGGCGTTAATAAAGTTGGCGACACAACACAGTGCCACTACAATTAGTGGAGCCGTTGAATACTTTAGTATTTGATCATATATTCCTCGTAAACTCCCCATGGCGAAATCTAGACGGCGCCAAAACTAACGTCGCCTCCCAATTACGCGCCATCTGCACTACTATCTAGTCAAATTTACTTCACTTCCAATTGGCGAACAGGAACAATTATCATCAACGAACTAGAGGGGTATTTATTTTGTATATGAAAATCTTATGCGAGTTTGGTTTAATAGGATAGTATGCATGTTAGCAATTCGAAAAAAGAGGTGTTTGTGTAGAAAGTTTGCATATATTTCGGAAAGATAAATGTTAATACCTGAAATATCTGACTTACGGGAAGAACCTAAACAACTTAGAATAAGAAATCATTGGCCCAAAAACCAAAAGGGAAAAGGCTGCACAAAACTTCGTGAACATATAATAAGACAGTGGAACAAAATAGAAGGTGATGAAAGTAATAATTTGTGCTCTGACAAATAGATTTTACCGAAAAGATTTTTGTTATTCATAACAACATACTTTGGAGTCCAACTAGTAATATTTTGTCAGTGAAATGCTCATTTAACAAAGCATAAAATCACGGAAAAAATCAAAATTAAAGCCATTGAACCCCTGCACGACGTTGCTGTTGAGCCTCTTACATTGTGCTCCGGTTGTAGGATACTCGGGCCCTAGAATGCAAATAACATGAGCAACTAGTCAGTTTTTACTTACATATAAATAGCTAGATGCGTTTTGCATATTAAATCAATTTGTGTCAACCACAAGGGCTATACCGTCGAATGCATTGATGTCTGTTTATCTACTTTGTAAGATAATAAAATGCACGGAGTCTGGGGAATGTCTGAACCAATGTCGTAATCCGATATGACGGCATCCTTCTAAAAAACTACCCTTTGCTTAGTCTTCCTATTTTGCACAATCTCACAGAAAGCCATGGATAAAAAGCTTCATATGAGCACCACCGCCGATCCGTTATACCTTGGATGTGAGTGTCGTAAGTACTTCGGAAATTCCGAACTCTAGCTTTTGTGGCCATTTAGAAAGGCCGTATCATTCATTGCAAGGACCTCTGCAACAGGCAGTCCAACTATCATAATAGCCCTGACTTGCCTAAGGTGTTGCAGATATGGTGGATCTAATCCCACGGAACTGTCTATGGATTCAATTGGTTAAAAATGTATAGGCTTCCTTGACAAACCACAGGTGACATTCGTGGAACGAACGATCAATTTGAGGAAATTCAATCTCAACGAAAGGCGTTTGTGCCTGTTATCCATAACCTAAAAGAGAAATTGTCAGGTCATGTTTGGCGCTGCCCAAATGTAAAACACATGAGCCTTGTCGAAAACTCCAACCCCAGTGGTGAATTTAGGCAAAACGAATCAAAACTTATTGACCGTCCATGTCGGCTCGACCCGTACGATTTCACTACCCTAACTGCAATAATCAATATACGGAGCTTCATATCCGTCCATGTCACTGTTTCCGTCCCATCGTAAAAGACGAAATAAACAATAAACAGAATAGTTTGTAATACAAGCAAAAGACTGGTAGATTCTGGTTAAATTTCACAGTGTAGCAACGGTCTGCATATATCCTCCTCATGGCTGCCTTGCTTTCCTGTTGGTCCGTTAGTCGGCCTTGCATTTAAGACATACAGTTCCTGGTGCGCTATTCGATGTTTCCATTGTCCCATGAGATTGAACGTCACGCCACCGGTCACATGACGCAGCCATCGACTAATTTCCGAGAGCCATGATATCAACCACCTGCCTCATGCATCCACTGCCTCCTAAAAATGAAGATTTTCATAGCTTCTAGGGGACTAAAACGAAGTTATTTTAACGATAAGGTCTACCAGGGGTGTTTCGCGATACATTGGTATCTGGTCTTAGTATCCCCCATGAGTCGTTGGGTAAGGTTTGATTTCGTTGAGGTGGACCATAAATTATTGTCCTGGACAATCCTCAGAACTATGTCGCCTCATTAATAACTAAGCAAGCTACGTACGGCCTTTCACACGGGTAATAAAAATTAACAGCCGTTCTCGCCTTATTAGTTGTTGACACCCAGTTAAGGTTGCCCTTCACGGCTGTGGAAAGGCCTAGCATCCGTTTTTTTTTTTAAATTTTTCTGGCGCTTTTGGGCTAGGGCTTTTCCAACCTGACTGACTCTCGAGGACAAAGCAGTGGTCGCCGTGGATCCGAAACGTGCGAAGAAGACCCGATGTATTCCGAATCTCTGGGCGAGAATGCCACGCCGACAGGTATTAACCGTAACTCATGACCAAATCTCATCGTCAAGGGGGTTACACCGGTGAGGGAGTGCACGGTAGGCCTCGTAACTTGAAGTGGATACATGCTTAGAAGTATACAGTTTCAGAAGTTTGTCTATTTGCCTTGCCCTTTTCTCTGAACATAAAAAGCGATCAAATGGCTCATGTGGAATTTTAAGGAGTAACACAAATCAACCCGGCCACGTCAATCTTTGAGAATTTAGTAGGGTGCCTCGTAACCGGTAACCTAAGCAGCCATAAAACTGACACAGGCAGATATATCAATGACTTGCCACTTTGGGGGGGGG